CTCAGATCTTGTTGTTGTCGGTGGCGGCGATTGAGTGCATGTGGTCCCCCGATTCCCTGACGCGCTCCCCTTTCCTCTCGGCCAGGGCGGTGGACATCACATACATCACATACATCGCATACATCGCATAATGCATTGTCGAATATTGTCGAGTTGCATGCAAACGCAAACTCCACAGCCCCACGGCGGAGACACTGAGGAGAAGCAAGATGCATTGCAGGCCAGCGGCAGCCCGCGTTGTGCTTTTGATCGGTGCTGTGGCAAGGTAACCCAGGACTTGAGAATGCCTGCAAATAAACCATCTAATAAACCTGTGTCATCCTGTGTCAATTCTGCAGGCCGGAATGATAGACTCTTAGCTGAAACTATTGGTTGCAAGCTTTCCTTCCTACTGTCAACGCACAGCTGCGAATTTGAAAACCAATGGCAGAATATGGCCGAACTGATCGAATTGCATATCTGGCAGACTCCAAGGTGAGCAACGAACCGGGTTTGTATTTAGAAGGGCGCTTCGGCATCCGTATTGAAAATCTCATGCTGGTGGTCGAGAAGGCTGCGATTTGTAGGGGGAGCAGCGGAGCAGCGTCAAATGCCATAAACTTTATAAACCTGGTCCTGTACTGTATCGGAGCTAGTGCACTGTAGGCGTTTTGTTTTGTGTAGGCGTTTTGTTTTGGACAAGCAGTTAAGCAAGTAATTTATTTGTTAGCATTTGTTAGCAGGTTTGTTCAACATTCGGTCTTGAGTCTTGAATGATTTTGATATATTCACTAATGTCAACCCTGGATTAATAAAGCCCTCAGCTGTTTAATTAGGAGGGTACCATTTAAGTATCAGATTGTGACTATTGGAGGAGTACCCCCCTAAATAATAGACCATGGTTTATTAATCCGGGGTTGAAATTAGTGTCATATCAACTTCACTCCAATCCAGCACAAAATAATTGATGGATGCATTCCCACAGGCATCGCTGGGGAAAAGCAAAAGTTTCCTTGGGTTAATCCCGATCACGCTTATACCGATTCAGCCTGGGACTTAGATTCAGCTAAGCTAAGACTTACAGTAACATCAGAAAAGTTCCCTGTTGTATCCAGTTGCAAAGGTCTGCATGGAACACTCAAAGCCGAGGAGATCCTTGATTGACATATCTTTGCTCAGTGACTTTGAGTTGGAGTATTTGAACGTGACTTGGCACAGTCTAGCAACCAACTGGAACGTCAACATCCAAACGCTGTGAGCGCATCAGTTCATTTTTGGAGCACCTTGCAATCTTGCGCTTCCAACAGCGTCGGCTTATGCCAGCAAAGGCATACCATGAGCGTGTGAGACATGAAATCGGCCCAATGCTGGCCGGTGGTGAACATGAGAAGGCACGAAAAGAACGGTGGGACGGACTGATGGAGATGATACCAGATACAGAGGTTCTCGTTTTCCATCGTTTTCCGTCTTGTTTGTGTTGCCTGCGTTGACCAGGCTTTGACTTGGCTTCACCGACAAACGGATCCATTTGTCCGAGAGACGGAAGAATTTCGCTGCCTTGAGCAAGCAAGGCAGGCAGCTGGCTTAGATGGCGTCGATGTGGCAGGCAGTGCTGATGCAATGCAAAAAAAACATTGCGGCGCGGCGCGGTGAATCGAATGAACGCTTGTTTGCATGCTCCCATTGCTTGACATTGAGACGGAAGATCCATCAAGATCCTAAGATTGTGACCTCAGGGTCAGCCGGCCAGAAAGCCATGATCAAAATAATGCTTTTATGATTTGGATATGATATGAACCGATTATAACAGATTTACGATTTTAATGAGAAAAACACTGGCTGAGAACAAATATTTTAAAATCGTACTGTAGCTCTGGTGGCTGACCCTAACGTCTTAAGGACATGAATAAAATTGACTAAATCAGTTGACATGCTCTGATGCAGGACTGGCCACCGCAACGGGCAGCAGTGGAAGACCACTACAAGTCCCACGTTTCACAAATTTGTCGCTAACAGAATCAGGGTTGCTCCACCCCATTAGAAATAAGTTAAGTATATATATATATAGCCACAAAGGGGCAATGGGTGATTTTGCCTTTCTAACTGGCCATTTGACCACCCCGTACATTTGGGGTGTTGGGAGCAACCCTGAGAATAGGTTTTTCCCGAGAGCATTTGAGCGAAGATTTTTCTGAGAAATGAGGTGAGGTATGCATCTTCGTTGTATTGTAAACATCTATGGATCTTGCATCTTCAAATCTTCACATCTTCTCTCTGTTCTCTCTCTTCTCTCTCTGTATCTCTCTCTCTCTCTCTTTCTCTCCATGTTCTCTTCTTTCTTAAGGCTGGGGGTAGTGCCGACGGGTAACCTTTTCGCGCAAAATAAGATTCGAACGTCAAAAGCTGATGTAAAAATGCAAACAAAAGTGTTAGTTTGGAGCACAAAATGAAGGCCGAACATCAAAGACTGATGTAAAATTGGGATGTTGAAGCGTCCGACGCAACCTTTTGCACGAAATGCGGGTCGAACGTCAAAAAGTGAGGTAAAAGGCTTCTAGGCGTGAAAGCTTCTGTGTGTAAAAGCTGCTTTGTGTAAAGGTTTATTTTTATACAAGCTTCTGTGTGTAAAAGCATTTGTGTGTAAAAGGTTAAGATTTCTCTGTGTAAAAGCTTCTGTGTGTAAACGCGTTTGTGTGAAAATGTGCTCCTGTACTATAGTGGGGGGGCGTCCTCCAAAGGTAGATGCTGGAGTTTGTTTTGAAAAAATGTGACCTCATGCGTTGTGTAGCATTGAGATATGTTGAGATTGCGTGGCAATGATAGTCTCCAAGATGCCACTTCATCGTGTCAATTGGATGTGTCCGATTGTGAGGAAGTGATATCATGTAACCGACAACATTAGGGGAAAACTAAAGTAGTAGGGAGTGGACTTGGGATGTTCAAATTTGTGTGAAAACCTTCACAACGGATATGGCAGACTACCCACTTACCGATACCCTATTTTTTACTCATAGCATGGAAGATATGGAAGTACAAACCTTCACAACGGATAGGGGACCACACACTTTGGCCATGTCCATTGCGAGTAGTAAGTAATTTTGTCCGCCACTCATATGATATAATGAATGTTGATTTTTTGATGGTGCAGCGTCACATTTGCAGTGGTCTGTTTTTGCCGTACTTGAATGTTCCGTGTCCGGAAAAGAAGGCGCAGTTTGTGCAATAGATTGATCAGTGAAGTAGATGCCATTTTCATTTTGTTGACGTCACTTTGGCAGTCGTGTTTGTTTCCAATAATTTCAGTGATGCAGTAACAGGTAATTGAACTCAGATGTGTGCGTGTGTGTATGGCGTGTGTGTGTGTGTGTGTGTATTGCCTTAACATGACACATGTGTCAGAACAATCTCATTGTATTTCGCTACGCCATGAAGAAATTCTACATTTGCACATCTTACTTACATGTTCTTTCTCTTGTCTCTCTTGTCTCTCTTCTCTCTCGTCTCTCTCTCTTCTCTCCCTCTCTTCTCTCTGTGTTCTCTCTCTCCCTCTCTTCTCTCTGTGTTCTCTCTCTCTCTCTTCTCTCTCCTCTCTTTCTTCTCTCTCTCTCTCTCACACATCTCCTCTGCCTTCTTTCTCCCCTCCTCCTTCAGCCGCTGCGCTGCGTCGGCGTTTGTGCCAACGGTTGTGTCGGAGCGAAAGGCGAAGCGTACTTGTTATACACGTACATGTAATTTCCTTCTTGTAAGAGCTTAATATACACCTGACTCATTATTTGCGCTCTCGGGCCATCCGTCGTGTAGTTGTTCCGCCAGTATTTGTGCATTTCAAAGTGACTGGGGAAACTCAGTTTTCTGGCTAAGATGGATGCGGAAAAAAATGCGACTTGTTCTTCCCTGGCAGGCAGCTTCGTGCGTATCAGGGACAATCACATTGTAGGACAATCACATTGTACATATACATATACATATGGATATACATATACATATACATATATATATAAATATATATATATATGTATACATATGTGTGTGTACTGTACATACATTGGTGACTAGAAAGAGTTTGCGGAAAGTCGTGTAAAATCATGAGAAGCTGAATGATCTGCAGAGATGCATAGAGGATGTCTACTTGCCTGGATATGCAGCAAAAGGAAAGACTGCACTTTTGGTAAAGGGATGCCACTCGACAGATTGCAGATGGGATTTACGTTTGAGTGAACCATAGTGAACCCATGAGGTGCTGTATCGATCTGTGGTCTAGCCGTCTAGCCTTGCTTTGTTGCCGTTGCAGCTCCAGCACTTGCCCTGGGTGCTTTCGAGTCGCAGCCATGGCCGTGAAACTGTGGATGGTTGTGGCAGCAGTCTCAGGCATAGAACTTTCCGAATTTTTAGATGTGGTTTTTCTTTACAGCTGTGATTTGCATTGAATATCATTGAATTCAATCAAAGTTTGCACATGTAAAAATTGCGTGCCGCCTGCGACCGGCTTATTTGGGAGGATTATTTGTTTGTTTGTTTTTTTTGGGGTGGATTTTTCCGGTTTTCCACTCTGGTTTTTGTGGTCTTGGGATTCCTGGCTTTTGTGAGTTGTGTCTTTGGCTTCTTGGCTTTTTGCCTCTTTGGACTATACCGCAACCATTGTGCAGACATCAACTATATAGAAAAGGATTAAAAACAGGACAACAACACTGTTTTATACGAAAATTGGCATTTTTCTGGCTTTTGTGGCTTTGTCATCTCGGCCCCTTAGTTTCTTGTGTTTTTCTTTTGTTGTTTTTGGTTTCTTGTTCTTTTGGCTTCTGTGGTTTCTTGGCAGTATGCTGCAACTATTGTGCCGACAACGAGTAAAACATCAATGAGAAATGGCAAAATTCAATCCAACAATAGAACTTAGAGGAAAAAGACGTTGATAATCTCAAATAGAACTAGGAGATACTAGGAGCACGGCCTTTAAGATGACCGTGTGTTTTTTTTGATTCATGGGATGTTGTTGATAATGTCCGATGTGCTCGTGCCAATAGGAATTCGTGTGATTTTAGTGTAGAGGCCGTGAACGCCTTAGTTCCAAGCAGAAAAACGAAAACAGTCATTTCGCCTACACAAAACCTCCATTTTGGGGTTTTATTCAAAGCTCCCAACTAATTTGTTTTCACAATTTTTCAGCCGTCTTTTGTTCACAGCAGCACTTCAAGTCTTCCAAGAACCTTTTAGTACCGTAGCGTAGCATGGCGTATGTGTGGAAATCCAAGAGAAACGTACAGTAGCGTAGCATGACGTATGTGTGGAAGTCCAAGAGAACTTACAGTAGCGTAGCGTGACCTATGCGTGGAAGTCCAAGAGAACGCACAGTAGCGTAGCATGACGTGCGTGTGGAAGTCCAAGACAACGTCCAGTGGCGTAGCATGACGTACGCATGGAAGTCCAAGAGAACGTACAGCAGCGTAGCAGCGTAGCATGACGTATGCCTGGAAGTCCAGGACAACGTCCAGTAGCGTAGCATGACGTACGCATGGAAGTCCAAGAGAACGTCCAGTAGCGCGGCATGACGTATGTGCAGAAGTCCAAGAGAACGTACAGTAGCGTAGCATGACGTACCCACCCCACCCCACCCCAACCCCCACCCATGAATACATCCCCGAACCGACAGCCACAGCGTAGCATCTACTTCATTCATGTGCAAGTTCACATGAACGTTAATACATGCCCCACCCCACCCCACACCAACAAAACACCATGGCCGTCTAAAGGCCGTGGTCCAACTACTGTATTTAACACCCAATACACCCAATAGGGTTGTGCCTCAACCTCCATACATATTTATAGCATTTGTAAACACACCTTGTATCCCTAAATGCACCTTAATCATATATATTATATAATCTAACCTTCAAGAAACTTTAAATACTCCCTAGACCAACCCTAAATAAAGCATAGTAAAGCCTAAACCAACCATAAACCAGCCCTAAATTTATCCTAAATCAACACTATGATAGCATCCAATGAAACTATATTCTACATGTTCACCAGGTGTATTTTGTGCATGGAAAATCAATTAAAACCATGGAGAAAAACTGTTAACACCATGGAAATCAAATCAACCATGGAAAAATCGATGAGAACCATGAATCGACGAAAACCATTGAAAAATCGATTACACACCATGGAAAAATCAACTAAACCCATGGAAAAACAAATTATATAAAGTTATGGAAAAATCGAATCGAAATCATTGAAAAATCTATGAAACTCACGGAAAAATCATTAAAAAACAATTGACTCATGGAAGAATTCGATTAAAACCATGGGAAAAAACAATTAAAACTAAAACCATGGACATATCGATGAACAGCGTAAAAGAGAAATGTTACCTCCAAATTTCAGCAAATTACAGATTTTAGCTCCAAAATGTGGCGAATAGCAAGGAAAAGTGCCCCAGACTGAAAAAACTGCACCCGTTTACTTGTTTTGCTTTGTTCCTTTAAGTCCAACTGGCATGCTGGACACTCAAGTCAAGATGTCAGACTTTTGCATCTGAGGTTGGAACAGCCATAGTGGCCCATGCCGGTAGTATGATTACGGAGCAGGGCTCAATTTTTCAGACTTAGTGATAACAGCACATCCCTGGATTTGCATTCTGATCTTGCACCGGTCTCGCTGGGCTTCCCATGGTTGTGGAGTATTGACCTGTAAAGTGTCACGATCAGGCACAGTTGTTTGCGAATCCATAACATGGCATTGGCATTCTATCCGATCCGATCTCCAGTCTTTGCCAACTGCATCAGCTGAGGCGGAGAAGCATGCAGCCATGGAGGAGTCAGAAGCAATGCACGAGGATGCGACAGGAGTCACTTTCCAGGCTGTTTGCTTCATTTTCTTTTAACCTCTTCTGTTTTCTTTCATTTAGTGTGCTATTCTTTCACTGATGCTTGATGCATTGCCTTACTTGCCTGGGAATAGGTGAGTGGCTCGCTGATGCTACTCTGATGTTTGGGGCGTTGAGTTGAGGGCTGTGCCAGGTTGTTTTCGAAGTCATTTGTGGTTCGCTTCTGGCACTATGGGGTGGCATCGGAGAGTTCAAGACCGACGCTAAGATCACTCTGTGCAAACTTTAGCCAAAGATTGTATACAATATGCATATAATCGTATATACAATATATATATATACATATATGCATACATAACAAAGAGTGATATGGCACCCGTAGAAATTCTTGGAGATGCGCCTTGCAGGGCAGCTGTTTGAGGTTCGAGCGAGTGACTTTAAGATACTTGAGCTGCCTTCTGCTCTGCTCCCATTCTGCTCCCAGGCCAATCCGTATGGGTGACTCCAAGAAACCTAGATGGGAGCCGGGTCCTGAGGTCAATCCCCCCGCCACTTTGTCCTTTGCCTTCCTGATCTTCCTGCATGGCAACGAAATATAAAGAAGCATGTCACGAATTGAGATGATACTTCGCAGATCGTTGAACCAAGAAGTGCGTTTTGATTGATCGAAAGCTTTGAATGCTTTGGCTTTGAGTTGCGTTGAGGTCGCTTCATGCACGTCCAGACTTCCACAGCTATAGAAGCCGAGCAAAGATCATGAGGATCGCTGGGCATGTCAACTGAAGTGGAAGGAAGCACCCCAGCTTCGGCAGTATCATTGGCAACTCAGTCATTTTCATTGGAGTCGTGGACAAATCAGGATGGAGAAAAAAGGGCGCAGTGCAGAGCTCCAGTGCATTTTGATGTTTGTCTGTGTGCAGGTCACTGCTGACTCACATAGAGCCTCCGCCGGGCAAATAAAGCCTCACCGTGCCTTCATGCACAGTAATAAAAATGCGTGGTGGAACCCAACTCTTGATGCATTTGCGTCGCATTTGCATTGCCTTTGCCTGGTTAAGCTGAGCCTTGGCACTTCCCAACAATAGACCCGCAAGTTTTACAACATGTTGCAACCACGTCTTCACATTTGACAGCAGTGATTTCAGGCTCAATCCCAAGATTGCAAGCTGCAATGGGATGTCTCAAGATATGCTCAATTCTAATGCCAGTGCTGGCTGTTTTCGGCCCACTCGGATTGACCCTTGGCAATAGCGACTAGGATTTTAAGAATTTGGGGAACTCACGCAAAGCGGCACCAATTGCATGCGCTAAGGAGCAGAGCGTTTGATGGAAAGTACTGGGATTTGTTCCCAGCATGGGACGTTTCCAGCATGCCTGACCTCTCTGGCAAAGTTGCCATTGTCACAGGTCCAACTGTGCCTTGGTTGCATTGCTTGTCAGTCTTTTGTGTCCATCAAGTGCTGGCTCCTTGCTCATTGCCTCTTCCGCTCATCTGCTCTTCCACATTCTGTGTTGATGGCGCACTGCAAGGTAGGAGGGATTGGCTACGAGTCTGCAGTGGAAATGACAGCCAAAGGGGCACAGGCAGCGAATTTATCAGCTTGCCACTGTATGATCACATGCATTCTGGAACTAGATGCTGATTTGTAGATGCCCACGGTTAACCATACGTCCGCGCAAACATCACACAAAGATAATATGTATATATATATGTATATACTGTATGTATATATATATAACGGATGCAACAGATGAATGTGACTACACCTAAGTGGGCCTGTTTGCGAGGGCATATTACATGTTGCAGGTTGTGCCTATATCACATGTGTGTGCAATTCTGCGCATGTATGCATACGGAAAAGACATGTGTGCATTCAAATGTACTGTAGCAGTGTAGGACATGACACAATGTACTGGGTTGTTTTGTATCAAAACGTAATTTAATGTGTTGTAAGATTTGTAAGGTGAAAGTCAACGCAATGCAACGTAGTGCATGGAATGCGATGCAATAGAATGACACGCAATGCCGAAAACGCGCGTGTCATTTGTTTCTGCAGTACTCAACATCAAGTGATGCAATCCAAGGATATCTAAGATATTCTAAGATGGCCGAAGGAAGTTTAGAAATCAAACTTCCGACAATATGGACAGATAAAAAGCAGAGATGGGAAGAGTCAAAGAGAAGAGAAGAGTAGAAGAGAGAAGAGAAGAAGAGAGAAGAGCAGAAGAGAGAAGATCAGAGAAGAGAAAGAGTCAGAAGAAAGAAGATGCAGGTGCGCGAAAAGGTAGGAAAGTCGCGAAACACTGCGTTTTTCCAATGATTTGTGGCTGCGGAGGGTCGAAAAGTAAGCTCGCTAAAGCGGCGGGTGCGGAGCCATCTGGCCAGATGAGAGATGAAGAATTGCACGCCGTTGTGGCGCGAAGCACGTTTCGAAGTCAAAATGTACAAAACGCACCAGGCTCTGACCACTTTTGGAAGTTGCGATGTCGAAAAAGTGCACGCCGTTGTGGCGCGAAGCACATTTGTAAGTCAAAATGCACAAAACACCTCAGTGTCGGACCGCTTTTGGAAGTTGAGATGTCGAAAAAGTGCACGCCGTTGTGGCGCGAAGCACATTTCGAAGTCAAAATGAACAAAGCACACCATGCTCGGACCACTTTTGGAAGTTGAGATGTCGAAAAAGTGCACGCCGTTGTGGCGCGAAGCACATTTCGAAGTCAAAATGAACAAAACACACCATGCTCCGACCACTTTTGGAAATTGAGATGTCGAAAAAGTGCACGCCGTTGTGGCGCGAAGCATATTTCGAAGTCAAAATGTTAAAAGCACCACATGCTCGGAGCACTTTTGGACGTTCAGATGTTGTTTCGCGTGGCAGGCGCACGGGATTGTGCACCTGGTCTCAAAAGTGAGGAAAACGTGAGGGTTTTGTAGCATGTCCAAAAACGATGGCAGGCGTGGGGCATTTGAACAGGATCTGGAAAGATGCATGTCGCCGGCAGATGCATTACACGAATTTACACGAGACATATTCATCAGAGATGTTAGGAGGCCCGGGCGCTGATTTCCTGAGAGGGGTTGCATTTTGGAGCCTGAGATTTTCAGGTTTGCTGAGATGATTTTGCGATATTTTGCGTGACCGGTGCAGCACTTCGTATGACCTGGCATCACTTTTTCGTGGCAGGCGCAGTACTTCAAACAGGTGGAATGGAAAAATCGCAAAACGCATTGGTACGAGGCCGTCAGCTCTGCACTCAACTTTCCATTTTTGAAGGACGTCTCGCAGAATTGTTTCGTTTTTGATGTTGTCTACTTCGAAAAATGAGGAAGTCTCAATTGCTTCGTTTTTGACGTTATCAAGTTCAAAAATTGAGGAATTCTCGCAGATTTGCTTCGTTTTTGATGTTGTCAACTTTGCAAAAAGTAAGAAGTCTCGCAGAATTGCTTCGTTTTTGACGTTGCCAAGTTCAAACATTGAGGAAGATTCGCAGAATTGCTTCGTTTTTGATATTGTCAAGTTCAAAACCTGAGGCATCTCGCAGAATAGCTTCGATTTCACGCTTGCAGATAGAAAGGTAGATAGACAGATAGATAGACAGACAGAATAGATGGATGGATGGATGGATAGATAGATAGACAGGTAGGTAGATAGGTAGATAGGTAGATAGGTAGATAGGTAGATAGATAGATAGGTAGATAGGTAGCTAGATAGGTAGCTAGATAGGTAGATAGGTAGATAGGTAGATAGGTAGATAGGTAGATAGGTAGATAGATTGATAGATAGATAGATAAATAGATAAATAGATAAATAGAGAGACAGCTAGATAGATAGATAGATAGAAAGATAGATAGATAGATAGATAAATAGATAAATAGATAAATAGAGAGACAGCTAGATAGATAGATAGATAGACAGACAGATAGACAGATAGACAGATAGATAGTCAGAGAAAGAGAGAAAGAGAGAAAGAGAGGAGACCTCAACCACCTGTCGGTCCATCAGTGGCTTCGCTCTGCCATCCGTGACTCACAACAACCAACCTCTCCTATAGGTTTCCTATTTTTGAAATTTCCGCCACCGCCTTGTTCAGTACTACTGGTAGGCTAGCGTACTGCAGCATACTGTCTTGGTGCGCACATGTACCCTGATAGGTAAGCGTATAGTATAGGTACTAGCAACTAGTATGTGATGTAGCCAGGTAGGCAGGCTTCTTTCGTTCTCATCATCAGCATTTGCTATCATGAGCCCGCCCAACCGCTTCTCCTGGTGACGAGAGCCCAAACACAACTGTACACTGAGGGGGCAGGCAGGTAATTAGGCAGGGAGGTAGGTAGGTATGGGGGTATCTGGATATGTGGATACATAAGCTTTGCAGGTTTACATGCAAGATTATGTAAGTACGTAGGCATGCATTGTAAAGCATGTTTAAGTCATTTCAATGCATTTTAGGTGTATTGCGTGCGTAGGTGCTCTGCGCAGCGTTAATGCCCAGGTTCCTCTATTAGATTTTTTTGGTAGACTTGATGAATGTTGAGTAAACAGTAAAATTTGAGGTGCGTTCATGCACACGCTGACAAGGGTCTGAGAGAACTAATGCATGATGAGCGGTTGGGCTGGGAAGACTTTTCGAGTCCAACTTTGGAAGCACATTTTGTTGATTGTGAGAGTTTTGATGTGGCCGAGAGGGGCTCCCTTGGAGCCTGATGAATAGATAGTTGGTTCCCCTCCGAAAGCGTTGCCTTACTATGATTGTCCTTTCACGTTTCTAGAGTTCAAAACTGATTTGTTGTACAATATTCTAGGCTGCTAGACCGCAGTACTGTACCATGCACCATGCAGTAGGTACCACAGCCACTGGGGCGATGTTAAATTCGTATGTTGAAATAGGATAGAATAGGTCAGTGTGTCTCCTATCATGTCTCGTTCTCTCCAAAGAGTCCATCTCCATCACGCCCCTGCGTGCCCTGATCTCTTGCGACAAAATCAAATGCGCCACCCCACATCCCTGTAACTTGTGCACACTTGTGCCGGGCCCAACCCTGTAACTCCCTGCCGCATTACCCATCATCCATTCCGACCAGCATGTTTGAAGATTTTGAAGCATGACTGGCGACTGGTAGTAACATAAACCTGCACCTTTGGCTCAAGACACAGAGGCTGTTTGATTCGTTTTTGTTTGTTTGCAAGGTCATATTAGCTGGACGCAGTGCGAGCAAAGGCAAGGAAGCCTTAGAGGAGCTATTGAAGCGAGTTCCCAATGCTAAGGCCCCTGCATATCGGGACTGGGGACTTAAAACGGAAGGTTACCCCTGAATTCCGTTCTTTTTCTCTCAGGAACAGTAGCAGAGGAGGATGTAGAGGTTCAAGAATTCAAACTGGTTTAAGACACTGCAAATGTTTGTTTGCCAACCTTAGTGGCTGATTTCCCAAGTGCTTCACTCACAGGTTGAGTTCATGAAGCTGGACTTGGGAAGCATGCAGAGCGTCAAAGAATTTGCAGCCGAATTTGCAGCCAAGTCTTTGCCGCTGCAGCTCGCCGACGAATCATGATAAATCATGGTATCTTGATAAATCTAAATGCCTTGGACACTTCTGGAGCGGTTTCAGAAATACAACTGAGACACTACGGAAGCAAACAAGGACACAATTTTCTCTGCTAGATTTGGGCGTGAACAACATACCTGGCGTGTACTTGCGCAAACTGCTGAGGCATATTTTGATGAACAATGCGGGTGTCATGGCCAACCCATTCACTTTGACCGTTGACGGCCTGGAGAGTCAATTCGGTACAAATCATATTGGTCACTTTTTGCTGACAAAGTTGCTTCTACCACATTTGGAGGCGAATCTGTGGCGAAACACAGAGACAGAGACATTTGCCTGGAGTGATCAATGACTATCAATGGTTGCAACGTCGAAGATCCACAAAAAATAAAAGAGAGCTGCGATCTCACACATGTGGCCTTTTCAGATGTAGTTTGTCGCTGGCGGCTTGGGATTGAAGGCATCGGCACCTTCCCGAGTGGTTACAGTAAGCTCCGCTGCTGCCTTCATTCCAGAGATGCTGAAAATGTTTGAGAATCTCAGCCGTAATAGTTTCAGTGGTCTTTCGGCCTAGTGGTGCAGTTTTGAACATGTCGTGACATCACTCATCGCACATGGCCACATCTAAATGACAAAAGGATACGGAAAGTCCGTTATACACTTTTGAGTCCAAGGATTGGAGGTATCGTGGATGCTGCACCTGCAGCAGACTTCGACAAGCTTGGTGCCGACTATGAAGCAGCCTGACTTGGGGCACTTCTAGTGCATCGCGACGAGTCATGATGAACAGTGCTTGACTTATGGGAAAACATGAGTTATATAATTGTGCCATATCAATTTGCCCACTGAAGACCTTCAAAGGCTATTGAAAAAAGCAAGGTTTGTGAAATTGAAGGTTTCTACTGTACATGCTTTTACATGTTTTTACGGGAGTTGTTCATATTTGTTCTCCAGCGTTTCCCCCAAGTCTGCCATCCATCCATGCCCGCCCTGGCTGTCCGCACTAGTCTCCATGCTTCCTGGTCCTCACATGATTCTTATGCCATCTTGTGCCTGTCTCTTTTCTATATTGCACATGTGCTCTTGCTCTCTACGCATTTTCTCAGCTATTCAGATGTCCCCCATCGCGCATATTCACGCAGCATCATTTTGCAGCCTCGACTTTTTGAAAGCATGTGCCTTGCCAGACTGTGTATGAGTACTGATGATCCTCAGAATCTGGTCACTGTATTTTCACTCCGCTGCGCTTGTAGCGCCAAGTGGAAGCTTTGCTCAGAAACATGCCGCTCACTATATATATATATAATTAATATGTTCCTGTTTTTTCTGCATTTCTGTCCGTGCCAAGGCTTCCTACAGTCCAGTCAAGGCATACGGTCGCTCCAAACTTGCCAACGTGCTTTTCACGCGGGCGCTCGCCCGGCGATTGGAAGGCAAGAGTGTCTATGCCAACGTGTGCCACCCTGGGGGTATTCATACCAACCTTGCAAGACACGTGCTCACCTCAGTCTCAGCCAGCCGTGGCCACCCTGGCCCGGCATTGGGATTCCGGCAGGAATTTCCACAGACAGGTAGTGCATGAGAGAACCTTCTTGGTAGTAACATGGTAGATCATGATAGATCATGGTAGTAACATGTAAATCACGTAATAGCTCAGGGCGAGCATTGAGGTGCAGGCAGACGCAGACGCATCTATTGGAGAGATGGCGAGACTTGTTCGCAAATACTCCACATCCTGTCACAGCCGAGTAGCAAAGAGAAAAAGGATGAAAAAGTGGCTCAGGGCCTCAAAAAAATCATTCCCTGCCCTGGGTTGGTGCTTGCTGGGCTGTTGGAAGGCATGCTGCATTATCAATCTGAATAACTTACCCAGGTGCAGTGCTTTGTTTCTTTGGTTTGTTTGGTCATGTCTTGCCTGCTTGTTTTCAGAGTTTTCTATTGTGCATTTCAGCAAGGGGCCATGGCAGACGTGGCGCTCAGGAATCTCCTCTTCAGCGTTTTGCAGCAGACTGTGATGTTTGCAGCTCCGAGGGGTGCCTACCAAGATTGAAAGTTAAGTATAGTAACGAGAAACATGAGAAACGCGAGAGTTTGGAAGATGGAGAGACGGAAGAAAAGAGAGAGAGAGAGAGAGTGTGGATGAGAATAGGTGAAAATGGATGAGAATCGATGAGAATAGATGAGAATGGATGAGAATGGCACCAACAGGAGGTGGAGGTGGGTAGAAATTAAATGAAATTAACACAGATGCTCTGCCAATCCAAGGTGCTGTTACTCAGTTGTACTTAGCAACATCCCCTGAGATTGAGAGCAAGGACATTCGCGGCCAGCAACTAGGAAAGAATTTGTCACCCATGCCCAAAGCGTGGTGAAACCATTGAAGTCAATGCAAACCTCATAGGCTCAGACTGAAGTTGGTTGACATATGTTGACATGTACTGTTCTTCCTCCAAACTCAGAAAGTTAGGTCATGTCAGTATGTGTCAGTTCATGTCGGTTCAGTTGCTTTCCTAGACCCCTATCATCTCCTAGACTTGCTGAGGTATTATCGCCCGCAAGCACTGCACGAGACTCCTCCAAAATTCTCAACTTACGAGCTGGAGGAAAAACTGTGGTCTTTGTCCGAGAAGCTTGTGCAGGAGTACTTGTAGCGTGACTGCTGTGTATCGCTCGACGTGTTTGATTGTGCCAGCCCACAGCAAAACATACAAAATTGCCAGGGATAGCCAAGCCGCACCAGTAACCCTAAGTCTTGTAATTGACGAATTGACGCTGATTGAATCTTATTGATCCGTACATTTATGAGTACTGAACCTCCAATTTGTTCAATCCTATTTGCCAAAGTTCAGCTTGCTTTCACTGGGGCTCTGCTGGGCGCGATCTTTGAATCCATATCGTTGTAGTTTCAACGATCTTGGAGCACATTGCTGCTGTTTGAGGGTTTCCTGCGCCTGAAGCAGCAGGCAGCCTTGTCGTCTCTCATGGCTCCAAACGAAGGACCATGACGACCACGATAGTTAATGATATGATGCGCAATTTTCGCATTTCAGCTCTGGACACTGGATGGCCCAGTTCGTGCTGGCCATATTCCAGGCCCTGTACAGAAAATACAAAAATAATTACGACCAAATGTGACAAGTCCTGCTACTAAGCTATCGATTCGAAATAGCCCTTTGCTGTGCATGTTTGTTCACACTTCTATCCAAGTCCTTTAGCATCTTTAGCGGAGGCACATTCCAACTGTGGACATACGTGATGCATCGTGATGCGTGATAATGTCAGCTCAGCTGGAGAGCCGGTTCAATGGGCGCTGTACTATACGGCACAACAGAGGCCACATCAAAGGCCACAGCAAAGGTCACTGCAAAGGTCACTGCAGAGCCTAAAGAGTCGTGCAGAAGGAGAAGAAACTGAAATTAATATTTAGGAATTATTTAGGATTATGTAGGCTCTGCATGGCTCCACATTGCTGCGCATGGCATGACTTTGCACACTCAGCTTGTTGTGATTGAATGAATTTTGTTCCTAGATTTGTCAGAGATCCTGATATCCTGGTACTACGATGCATTCTTCTGATGGACCTGTCACTCATCAGCATCAGAGTTCACCAAATTGTAGCCCACTCTTGCGCAACCATCGCTGATGGCTCCCGAGCAGCCTAAATCAGAGAAGGAGCACCTGCTGGAACCATTCCACCTGCTGAACCCTTTTGAATTCCTTTTGACTTCTGACGCATCTTCAGACAATTTCACATGATGCGAAGCAGACAGACGCTGCAGAGGAACTGGCAGAGCGACGCAATAAACTGGTGAGAAGGAGCTTGCGCGTTAATATGCGTTAATTGTGCATGTTCAGTGGAGAATTGTAGTGGGTTGAAGTTGGTTGTTCTTTCGTTATGGTTTGTTTGTATTCCTTTGTGCCATGCCTTCAGGATTTGTATCTCATCCTTCTTCAGCGCTTGGAACTTAGCAGACGAGACTTCATAGTCTGCCATCTGGCAGGACAAGCGAGGACGAGACTCGTCGCGGTTGGGCTGATACTGAATCATGAGCCATCATGAGTTGAAACGATACGGTCTTCGTTGTGAGTGTGAGATTCGATCCTGATTCTTGCGAAATCTCGCTGAGATCACTGAGGTTTGCCAGCACTTTATTTTTGCTCAGTCAGAGCCGCGGCTCTTCCTGAGCCTTTGCAATAAGGCCAGACTCAGCTTCTCTCAGCTTGACAAATCCGAAAAAGAACGATTTCCTCCTGTTCCACTGTTTTCCTGCTCACGCGCAGCTGCCTGGTGGTTGTTCACTCTTTTGGCCGACGTGCTCTCTGTCACATGGTGGTTGGGTGGCCTGCGGTCAGATGTCTCAGGGTTTGTTGCTGTGGCTGTTGCGGGCGCGTGTGATGGTGTGACATTGTCAGTGCCAGTGTGCTGCTGGAACACAGCCTTTGCCCCCCCATGGCGGTCCCGGAGCTGTTCCATTACTGAGGGGCGTTGACAAGATAGGTTAGGTTAGCAGTGTGATTCTCATCGCGCTTGGTGCGGTGCAACTTCTGTGTTGTGATCCAACAGAACGTGTCAGCAAAAAGGAAGGACAAAAACAACATGAAAAAAGATTGGGGCTCCTGAAGAGAGAAAAGGAATCACAAGAGGTCAAGGACCCATTCACAAGGTGCCTTGGCCCGCAAGTTTGCTGGCTGTCTGACTACCTGCCGGGTGTTGCATGCCCCTGTTTCTGCGGCCACAACGTGACCAAGCTACTCAATGGCAGAGGCTGATTTCTTTGATGAGCTGGTCGCGTTCCAACAGCCCCTGTGCAAAGGCGCAAGCACCTATAAGCACCTTGTAACGGCCCCCATGGAACGAAAGTTTTCAGATGCAGTGATGCGGCCATGGAATCCCGACCTTGTGCCTGTCAGCATCGCTTGGGTTGGAAAGTGGGCCTTGGAACATGAATCTTGGCGTGTGGATGCCTGTGGTTTGTGGGTTGTTGGCTACATTGGAGAAAATTGGTTCCGGTGTCTTCAAATATTAGCTTCAAGGGGCCTCGCGACAAATCGCCATATGAATTTGTCATGTCACAATGACGACCAGAATGTCAAGTCTTTTCCTTGGCCCGCATTGCTTCAGGAAAAATAACACGTTTTTACAGTATTTTACAGTAACTAGTGTCAGGCACGGTTTTTGATCCGGAGCATTGCTGGGGACCAGAGAGGCCCAGGCGTTTGTGGGGCAAGGTAATTGGGTGCCAGCCAGAGGCAGTGGCTGAAGTGACTATTGCGAACGTGGTGAGAGTATAGTGGGTCTGGGGGGTAGCGGCTTCCGAACCACACTGAAAACACGAAATTAGGTGGTGGCCGGGAAGCGTGTTTCGCAGGGTGATGTACCGTGTGGCAGCTGGGCGTTCGATGCCCCCGTTTTGAGCCGCCATGTGGAGAAAACAACTTGAAGAAAAACGCAATGATAAAAAGAAGAAGAAGAAGTACCACGTCGGGTTCCAAACCTGAGACTCCCAGAACGAAAAATATGCCAGAAGAAACGAAACGGGAAGACAAAACGGAAGCATCACCTAGGAGGTAGAGATCCCGAAAGATGTAAGAAAGGAAGGGAACAACATAGTTTCGGGATCTTGAAGGGTGCAGAAGATTGCAGAAGGGTGTCGTGAACAGCAGGACAAATGCTTCATCTAATCTAATCCTTCGAGAACGAAAAATATAGCAACTACACAACGAACATCAACGAACTGGGTTCCCTTTCTCTCCACCGTCTTCATGATGCTCGCAAACCACCGGCTTCCCCATAACAGCACCTCTTCGGCGCGCATCAAAAAGCCGTCCGTGCTGCTTCCCGGTGCTTCCCCCAACGCCAACATGCTTCCCTCCCAATTCAAACCCATTACATCACACTCCAACCGTACCAATCCCAAAACTCCTTCTGCCCGGTTCTTTTTGATCTTCTTGGCCTTTTTCAGGACCCTTTCCTCTTGCTGTTCACCACATCGCCTTACCCTTCTGCACCTTTCGACGCACAACTGCCTTTAAACCCAGATCATCTTCAACAACAACATCACTTCCGCATTGACAACAATTATCAAGCTTACCCTAATTAACCTTCCTATCCTTCCTCATTACTCTCCAACCTACATTTTCCCCTGCTTTGAGATATAATACAACCAGCTCAAACTCGCCTCATTTAAAATGACCACCAAACAAAGTTGATTGATGCCTTGTTGTTAAATCCTGACAGTTGGAGTGTGATACGCAACCACTCAGTTTGCTCGTAGGAAGTAAAGTCGCGATACAACATGATACAACCATGTTAGCCGCTAGCCTTTCCATGGTTATATCCGTTGCAGTGAAAGGATGTGAAAAGGACAAGAAAGGGGCATGCATGTTTCCGCATACGGCTTTCTGGGTGTCAGCAGAATTACGATGCAACCATGTGCAATGTTTTTTCTCCTGCAAAGTCATAGCCGCATGCCAAAGTCATAGCCGCATGCCTTCCCACAGATCCATTTTAAGCGAAACCAGAGGCACACCCTTTTCGCGATATCCTCTTCACTAGGAGTGTGATACGCAACCACTCAGTTTGCTCGTATAAAGCCGCGATACAACCAGGTTGGCCTTTCCCTGGTTATATCCTTTTTGCATACCACCGTTGCGAGGAAAGGGAAAAGAGACATGCATGTTTCCGCATACGGGTTTTTGGGTGTCAGCAGAATTACGATGCAACCACGTGGTTTTTCTTATGAAAAGTCATAGCCGCATGCCTTCCCACAGGTCCACTTTGCGAATCTTTGCGAAACCAGAGGTACATCCTTTACATATGTTTTCACGATATTCTCTTCACTGTTTCACTATTCATCTTGCCGCACTCACTCCGCTCAAAGCTCTGCTCGAGCGTCGGCCTTGTTCACCCGCACCTTCCAAGATTCTTTCGGCGATCAAAAACGCTGGTTTTCGTCTTATCTTCGGAGGTTGTTTTTTTTTGGTGATTGTTCCTCTCAAATCTTACAGTATGGGCAATGGTTAGATGCTCAGCAATTTTGGTTGGAAGCTAGGAACATTTTCTGGCATTTTCTGTTGGTGTCAGGTTTCATGCTGTGGCCATGTGGACAGGACTCTTTTTCCCACCTGCAGCTATGGAATGCTACGGATCCCACTCTGGAGGCAAGTCACAGCCCCACCTGTTTGACATCATTGATCGATATTGATCGCATGCTTACAGTGCAAATACTGGCGGCGCTGGGGCAGCGAGAGGGGGCAGCTAGCTGCCTTCACAACGGCAGTGGCTGGGTCACCCACTGTTACCATCTTCAATTTTTCAATATTTTTCAGCTGTGCTGCATGTGGTACTTTGGGCCTGGCGCGTTGGCGTGATGTTGGGTGGGCATGCGCGTCTTGCAGGGTCTAAGCAGCCATATGCCATGTGTCTCAGCATGACCCAGCCGTCCCTGTTGTGATGGAGGTTGTGGCTGGAAGGAAGGGGGTTCAATGTGCGATTCATGGCGTGCATGTCGCGCTCAGCTTCCATGCTTGGTTTGTTGGTGCCAGGTCTGCGTGGTTTTATAAGCTTTGCACTCTTACCTTCTCGATCTCAGATGTTAAATTGCTGTGACATGCCCAGTTCGGATTTGACATTTGTGCATATTTGTGCAAATGTGTTGTCACTTGTCACTCTGTTGTTCGTTCGTTCTTTATTTATGGCAAATTATGGCTTTATTTCGCTGTTTTGTGTCAGGATGCAGCCAGTGCGACACGCATTCTCGGCAACACATCAGGCATTGCAGGATTGCTGAGTTTGGTCGCAGCTCGTTTGCACTTGCCATTCTTATCTTTGAAGGTCCGCAGAACTACCTTTCTGCAGAGCCCAGGTCAACCAAGCTGGGGGGAAACTCTCTGATTACATAGGCTGGACGCAGCAAAGGTTGCATTTGCGATCATTTGCAAATGCTTCATCCGGCAAAATCAATGATAAATTGCTTTGCTCATGTACGTTTGCAGCCAGTTTATGCTGCGAGAACGTTCCTATTCAATTTTATTCGTGCTATTGCAAGCTTCTCCTTTCGCCTTTCGTCTCGTTTTGTACTGTGAGTGCACGGCATACACCGATGTATACAGATAGCAATTCTATGCAATTCTGAATGGCATCCTTGCACCATGGCTGGCAGACCTACAATGCCTGCTTGGGGTACTCGTAATTACTGTAAAAGATGTAAAAGGCAATCTCACTTTGATCTTACGGTCCTTGCCTTGCTGCTACAGGGCGGAAGCCTGGCTTTCTGATTGGCCCCATGAGTTCCTTGGATATGACTAATGAATTACCAATGATTGGAAGAAAGAAAGGAGCGAAGCGTCACTGTTTTGCTGTTCGAAGCGCCTTGTGCCCTGCCAAAGGCAATGTGGTGCTGGGAGTGCTTGTAGTGCTGAACCCGCTTAATCGGCCTCTCATAGCCGTTTGCCGTGTCCTCCGCTTGCACCTTGGCGAATCACATCACTTTCTTGCAAATCGATGGCAGTGAAAAGGAAATACATTCACGCAAATACAGTACATAATTTGAACATATTTGAACTAATATGTACACACATACATTACGTTGCAATACATTGCATTACATTAAAATTGCATTGCATTACATTACATTACATACACACTAGACTGCACTACACCACACCACACCGCACTGCATTACATTACACTACATCACATCACATCACATCACATCACATGACACTACATACAATAGCTATATGATGATCGATCTAAAGGTCCTTGTAAAAAGTTTTAATTGCGAAGACCGTTCATGTTATGCTGGGAACCCTCGCGAAAGCTTTTTTTGGGGAGTTCGCGAAATATTTTTTTTTGCGAAAGTTTCGCGAAAGTTGGATATTATGAATCATTATCATTGTATACCGCCCGGGGGTCCGGCAGGAGAATGGTACCGCACATTTGCCTTCCCTTCATAGGTAGCAGCCAAGTTTCTGAGGATGAGGCTTCGCCACAGCCAAATACCATGGTCTTGAAGCACATCCTTGCACCTGCCGCTGGTACTGCCTGATGTTGCTTTCTGAAGTCTGAAGAAACAAGATCCAAACGCAGCAGCCAAGCTTCCAAAGGTGAGGCTTTGCGAGAGCCAAACACCAAGGTCCCTGGTGTTTATTTTCCCTCTGATGCGCCCCCTGCTGATGGCTGGGGTCTGCGGATAGGGGCATTTTCGCGAAAGTTCCGCGAAAGTTTTGCGAAAGAGTGGGTGAAAGTATGTGAAAGTCAAAGTGCATTTTGAAGGGAGTGGCCTAGTAAGCCTTGCAAAAAAAGCCTAATCAGCAACAACTTGTCCTGCGAAGGGGATTCCGTGATGCTAGCTGCATGCTTACAAGGCTATGACGAAGTTATCCGTGATAATTTAGTGTGTGATTTGGCAGGTGATGCATGAATCTTCATGATTCGCGAAACTTTTTTATTCGCGAAGAATGGCCGATTGCAGATGTTTGCAGATAAAGGATTTTAGATCAACCGCCATATGTAGATTTTGTATTTAATCTAAATTTATATGTTATATGTATATCAAATTAATTTCTAATTATAAATATACATCTATGGTGGCATTTAAATATGTATACATATTTAATACACACACATATACTATAATATATATATATATATATCGAAGGGGTTTATGCTGCTGTTGCGTGTGTGGGCGTGTTTGCTGGTCACCTGATGTTGATGTTTGGAACAACCACGGGCCATCCTTCGACCAGGATTCTCACAACCTTCTCGAATACTGTCATGTGCACTGCAGCTGTCGCAGATGCATTTTGGCTGCGTTGGACTGGATTTAAGCTGAGTCGAGAGTCTTTCAAGATCTACAAGGCCGAAGATATTTGTAGAGGACGCCTGTTCACTTGCCAAATCACTGCCTCACTCCGCAAGGTTTGTTCAAGCAGCGACTTGGCGCTTGCAATGTCGCGGATGCAGACAGCCACTGGTCGCCATCTCGGATTGCCTAGTGGGACCCGTGGACCAATGCAGTCACTTCTCTGTTGATTTTCGGTGATTCGATTGATATCGATTGATCAGGTTTGGCCATGCTGCTTACCCCATTCATTGAGGGCAGGACTCTGGTTAGCCATTTGTGTAGCCAGAAATGTATATCGTAATTACTGTACTAGTACATTTTGAACATAGTTTCAACATGTTTCAACATGTTTCAACGTTTGGATGCGACATCATGCGACTCTATGATGAAGGATTTTGCACCTTTCGCCGTGGTCACCGCATGGCATCAAGTACGTGTATGCCGCTGCTTGGCTGCACGGCATCAAGGCATTGTGGATTCACGGGATGTGTGCGCGTGTGTCTATTGAGTGTGTGACCTTCCTTGGCTGCATGTCTGTTGCACCCAGCTAGTGACTATGGATTTTGTATGGTTTTGTCAGGTGTCCGGTAGCTTGGGTACATGATGGTACATGACTCCAAAAAGTGTACTGTTTATCGATGACATCGATGTTAAGCAGCTTGTTGCTGCTTTTGTTTGAGGCAAAGGCAGCCATTGCAGCTGTGCATGCGGTTTTCGTGGCCACCCTGTTGGAGGTGGTGAACATGGTTCGGCATCGAAGCCACTGAGCCAATACTGGGACAACATTGTTCTCACATTTTCTCACAAATTGGGACGGGTACAGCCCGGTGCAGCCAGAAGCCATTTGGAACAGGAGACTTTGGACAAGTCCAACAGGGCCACTGCCAAAATGACCCTGGACATGACACTTGGCAGGTTGTTCTGTTTTGTAATATACCGAGCGATGCCCCCTAAACCTAAACCGATGACCATGGAATCAGTATTATGTTCAGACCGTCGCACATATGGGGTGGCATTGGCAATGACATGAATTGACATGCATCATTCACGAACGATGTACAATGTACAGTATGTTTTGATATGGTATGTATTGTTTTGTGATGATATGTCATGTCATGTGCATCCTGTGTTTGTTTCAAGGCTTCCGAGCTCTGAGCTCTAACTGCAGAGCATTGAGAGTCCGTATCGGTTTTGGATATGTTTTTGACCTGGGTCATTCTGTAGCTAGTTGACCGATCATGACCGAGGCTCTTGCCTTGCAGTAGTTCCACAATGACTTACTTGTAGTGACGTAGTGGCCGCATGTTGTGGCAGCTGTTTGGCTGCGAGTGAACAGTGGCTGAGGATCAATCCTTTTGGCTTTGTCCGGATATTCTCTGAAGGTACACAGGCAGGTACAAGTGGCAACTGACAAGATTTTATAACAGACGTCCAGACGGAAGGATTATATCATTAGGTCTCAGGTAGGCAAGAGGATACATCAGAGATCATCAGAGTAGATACCGCGGTCTTCTGTTGCTGAAGGCACTTCGGAAGCTTGTCATGATCACTACCTTGCAGATGCACCTTGTTTCAATGGATAAAGATGTGCACACTGTTTTGACACACTTTCAAGTTGCAAAACTGAGATACGATTGAGGGGATCTAGAGCAGCTAGATGAAATAAAGTCAAGTCGATCAGGTTCATAGAAGGCAAGAACCTGAGCGACGTCATCCAGGCAGATTCATGGTGTGTTCATGGTGCACTGGTTTCTTCCCGTTTCCTTCCGCATGGCTCACAAGCTGCTGCACAGGCATGGATTCGAGATCATCTCAAGTGGTCAGTCACACAGGTGCCTTCCTGCATAATGATGCATAGACTGCAGCCGAAACGGAACAAGCAACTGAATGAATCATATGAATCACACATCAATCAATACAAAATAATACTCGTACAAATCGACACGAATTACGCATTTTGAAGGTGAGGAATTTCATTGTGGCGCCCAGCTCTCAGGCATAGCAGCACATGCTGTGCCAAGAATCTGCCGGTCCTGTGACTGAGGTATGGAATGCTTTGCACGCGTCTTGGCTGCAGCAATAGGCAATATCTGGTCACTATCCACTATCTGGTTGCACCTGGTATCATTTGGTGATTTAGGGTTTCTTGGATAGTTTCATTTTCTGAAAAGTCGATACCAAGATGCTGAATCCTCATGGCATGTACATAGAAGCTCCAGTTTCTGGCAGAGTGTTGGCCTTGTGGCAGGGCCTAAAAAGTGCCTTGTCAGAGTGTGCTGAGATGCATCACTCACAGAAGAGCGTACAGAACATTCTTTCTGTTATTCTTTGTCGGAGGGCAACTGGCCTGTCAGCAACTCCTTGGATGCTTCGAAATTTCAGCCCACGAGGACTTGAGGGCCATGAACCGACCACTTGTGAACTAAGCAATGGATAAAAATGAGATAAATTGAGATGTTGCGGAGGATTCACTACCATCACAAACCTGCTGAACTTTTTTGCCTTCACCGCACGGGGGCTCTCACCTAGCTCGTGGCTCTTTTTGTCAATGATGGCCTGCCCCTCAGATAAACGCATCAGAGATGTTTGTGCTCACATGATCTTTTCGAGGTTCCAATGCTGCCTGGCGTAAATGGTGCTAGTGCAACGGCCTTGAAGGCTGTGGCACAGGACATCGCTGCCAACCAGGCAGAAAGAAGATGAACGAAGCCTACTGCGAGTCACAGCATGAGATAGCCCGAGCTCAATGCTCCTTTCAAATGCCCTTCACTAAATGTCGATAAACTTTGGAGAGAGGGAGAGGGATTTCGGCGCGACGCATTTCAGAGGGGATCATCTGAGTGTGCCTGTGGGGTTGTGACATGCCTGTGGTCAAAATCATGTAAAGATATGTAATTGCTTGATATCTTGCAGCATGATACATTGTAGCATGCACCAATCTATGTCATTTGCAACTGGCCGCTGGGTTTGCTTGTATAGGTATATTATGATAGCATATTGATAGGTACAGATGCAGATATAGACATAGATTAGTAGGATAGCTCGGATCGGCGTGGGTTTAGATTGCATTAAAATTGATTAGATGAGATTAGATTAGCAGACAGATAGACAGACAGGCAGATAGATAGACCGATAGATAGATAGATAGACAGAGAGACAGATAGACAGATAGAAAGATAGAAAGATAACAGGACAGACAGATAGACAGATTAAATAGACAGATAGATAGGTAGGTAGATAGAAAGAAAGATAGATAGATAGATAGGATAGATTAGATCAGACTAGATTTGATCATATTAGATCAGATTAGATTAGATAGATTAGGTAGATTAGACAGATTAGATAGATTAGGTAGGTTAGGTAGATTAGATAGATTCAATAGATGAGGTAAACTAGATAGGTTAGATAGATAGATGGTTCCTTCATCAGTTTGCTTGATCAGTACTAGACTAATTATACCAGTAATTAGTACCGCACAAGGCGGTGACGCAGGTTTCAGAATAGGAAACCTATAGGAGAGCTTGGTTGTTGCGAATCACGGATGGCAGAGCGAATCCACTTATGGACTGAAAGGTGGTTGGAGTTGTGTTTTTTGGGAGTGGTTACAATGGTTGCAGTGGTCACCTGGTCGGTCACCTCACCCGCAACTGCTGGATGTAGTGTGGTGTAGTGCAGCTGTAGTTGTACTTGTAGTGTAGTGGAGTTGTAGTTGTGGTGCAGTGTAATTAGTTCAGTGTTGAGCGTAGTGTAATGTAATGTAGGGTAGTGTAGTGTAGTCTAGCGTAGTGTGTGTAAAGTAGCGTAGTTGTAGCTGTAGTTGTAGTTAGCGTGGTGTGGTGTAGCATAGTGTAATGTAATTGGTGTAGTGTAGTTGTAGTTGTAGTTAGCGTAGTGTGGTGTAGTGTAGGGGGGCGTAGTGTAGACTAGTGCAATGTAATTAGTGTAGCGTAGCGTAATGCAATGTAGCGTACTTGTAGCTGTAGCTGTAGCTGTAGTTAGTGGAGTGGAGTGGAGTGGAGTGTAATGTAATTAGTGCAGTGTAGTGTAATGTAGTGTAGTTGTAGTTGTAGTTGTAGTGGAGTGTAGTGTAGTGTAGTGGTCGTAGTTGAAACTGTGACAAAACCCTCACGATTTGCTCACTTTTGGAAAGGTGCAGAATCCCTTGCGCCTGCCACGCGAAACGACATCTGAACGTCGGACATCTCAACTTCCAAAAGTGGTCCGAACATGTGGTGCTTTTAACATGTTGACTTTGACATGTGCTTTGCGCCACAACGGCGTGCACCTTTTCATCTCTCATCTGGCCAGATGGCTCCGCATCCGCCGCTTTAGCGAGCCTACTTTTCGACACTCGGAGCCACAAATCATTGGAAAAACACCGTGTTTCGCGACTGCATCTTCTTTCTTCTCACTCTTTCTCTTCTCTGATCGTCTCTCTTCTGCTCTTCTCCTCTCTGACTCTTCCTACCTCTGCTTTTTCTCCTCTCTGACTCTTCCTACCTCTGCTTTTTCATCTGTCCATATTGTCGGAAGTTTGAATTCGAAACTTCCTTTGGCCATATGACTCATATGACACTATGCTAATCCATGCGGTACCATCGAGGCATGCCCACAGAGTTTGCTGCCGCCGCCACTTCTGGAACAGAGCGCGTTCTTAGCGGGAAAAATCGTTTCCGGATACCAACCAATCATTATGTAATATAGTGTCATCAAATCCAATCCATAGAGGAAACCTGGGCCTCTCGAAAAAGTGCTCCTGTGCCAGACGTAGGTATGTAACTATGTATGAAGCACATTGCATGGGCGTCCTGTGCCAGGGCTTTGGAAAGGGCGAGTTCTCTGCCTGGGCCGTGTTCCCAGGCAAAGGCCAACATAGCTGGAATTTGAGCAAGTCTCAGCAATTGACCACGTGGTTGAAGTCAGCATGCAGATTGTTGAGGTGAACAACTTGAGAGCATTCTCGGGCTCAGTGGCCCCAGTCGTTTATGGGCAGGTACAAAGGGTGGGGGAGGCGTCGGATGACTGTATGCCTGGCTGCCTGGCGTATCAGTTGCACTTGCTAGGTGTATGCAGCAGCCCAAAACCGAGGCCGTTCTATCCATACCATTGTCTTTCACTGGAATGCTTGAGACATTTGTATACATGTGTGTCGTTTCTGTCCAACACTTTCTAATACTTTCTATATCTATAACACATGGCATGCAAGCTTCCCTTGATAAGGCAGAAATCCCGGTCTCACATTCTTCTTGGCTGGGATTTTGGGTGCTTTGCTTCCTCAGGCGCAGCAGTCTCTGCCAGATTTAGTTGCAGAATGCAAACGCTGTGAATCTGCTTTTGCCAGGCAATGCTGCACTATGTCACCGACAGTGACATGGTGGCTTGATGCTTCAGAGTCCTCAGGAGCACATGGACGTTTGCTGGATCATGGCAGGGTTAGCAGGCAAGTCTGACTGGCAAAGTCTTCCATCCTTTTTGGGTGCCACAAGATGCGTTGCCATTCAACAACATTTTACAAGTTTACACTTCAAGCGACGAGGTAATAGTGGTACAAACTGGCGTGGGAAGGTGCAGTACAACCCAGCGCTTTGCCCGCTCTAGGATCCAAATGTGTTGGAAGAATACGTCAAAGTTATAATATGTTATAATGCCGACAGATCGTGAATGAAATCAGCACATCAAATTCTAAATGCACTGTGGTTGTAAGATGCTTTCACAATAATAAATTTCTTTTATTTATTGGAAAGAAGTAGTAGTAATGTACAGTGCATGTGCGCGTAGGCTTTTCTTAAATGAAAACATGTGTCGAGATGTTAAGCTTCTCCCTCCTCCCATCTCTTTTCCTGAATGTCTAGCGCACGCTTCCCGTTCAACTGCAGGGCTTGGGGTTGGATGGTGTTTGCTGCATGTTGCCCCAGTGTCCTGAACTGTTCGCAAACGTTCGCAGTAGTTTGCGGGAGCAGCTTTGGACAGCTTTCCGGACCAGCTTTGAGGCAGCTTCGGGGAGCAGCTTTGGAGTTTTTGGGGGCTTGTTTGGGACGCGGCTTTCGGTAGCAACTTTGAAGAGCAGCTTTGGGGAGCAACTGTGGGGAGCAACTTTGCGGCTTTGCAGCCGCATTGACGAAAAGTTGCTTTTAAGAACGACAACTTTGGAGAGTAGCTTTAGAAAGCAACTTTGGGAAGCAGCTTTCGGAAAACAACTTTCGGGTGCAGCTTTTAGCAGCTTGGGGGAGCAGCTGTTCGGAGCAGCTTTCGATAACAACTTCGGGGAGCGGCTTTGGGGAACAGCTTTGTGGAGCAGGTTTGGGGGGCAGCTTTGGGGAGCAGGAGCAGCTTTGAATGGGGAGCAGCTATGGGGAGTAGCTTTAGAACGCAACTTTGGGGAGCAGCTTTCGGCAGCAACTTTGGGGAGCAGCTTTCGGGAGCCGCTTTGGAGAATAGCTTCGCGGAGCCGCTTTGGGCGACAGGTTTCAAGCATAGCCGCTTTGGGGCAACCGCTTTGCCGAGGTGCTTTGGGGAATAGTTTTGGGAAGCAGCTTCAGGGAACCGCTTTGGGGAGCAGCTTTGGCAAGCTTTCGGAACAACTTTGAGGAACAATTGCTTTGAAGAACAGCAGCTTCGGGGAGCAGCTTTCAGTAGCAACTTTGGGGAGCAGCTTTCGGGAGCCGCTTTGCAGAATAGATTTGGGAAATTGTTTTGGGGTATAGGTTTGAAGAATCGCAGCTTTGGGGCAACAGCTTGGACAGCAGCTTTGGGGAGCAGCTTCGGGGAACAGCTTTGGGGAACAGCTTAGGGGAGCAGCTTTGGACAACTTTCCGGAACAGCTTTGAGGAACACTTGCTTTCAAGAACAGCAGCTTTCGGGCACACATTTAAAAGGAATTTCGGGGAGCAGTTTTCAGTAGCAACTTTGAGGAGCAGCTTTGGGGAGCTGCTTTTGGGAGCGCTTTTGGTGGAAGCTTTGGGGGCGCCGCTTTGAGAAAACCGCTTGGGGAAGCAGCTTTTGGGCGAACATTTGGTAGGAGGTGAGGAGTCGCGGGCTTCCGACTGGTATTGTCGACTGCCCGTATTTATTCAGGTTTTTTCTTTTGCGTTTGTCAGCTAGACTGGGACCAGCTCTCGCCTCAATGTGCTTAGCTGCTGGCTCACTTCAGAGTCAGACACTCTATTTTGCGACGGACTGCATTTTCATGTTGCAGTTTGGGATTGATAGGTATAACTCCCTGATTTGTTCTTTCTCACGGTTGCGGCTGTCAGCAAGGCCCGGCCTGACCTCCTAGATATTTTAGCTTTGAAACTTTGCACATATGGTCTTATTGGTTTAAGAGTGCCGAGACATATCCGTTATGTTGGATTTTTGTTCCCCTACCTGAGCTCTCATTGGTTATGATTCGTTGTAGCTTCGGGAATCCCAGTTTGTGAGTTAGCACAACTGCGCGGAATCTGACATATGATATCATATGGTACCCTGATATTTTTGGGGGCTTTTTTGGGATTGCGCTTTTTGGGTATGCTCCTACCGGCTTGTCCCTTATTCTGCTAGCCTGGGGTGTGCAACGAGCAGGCTTTCCTATAGGATACAAATTATGAATTATCGTTTTAATTTTATAGTGTTATTTCGGATTATACCTATTCCAAAAATTTGTATCTTAAATATATCGATTTATTCTTATCGTAATTCCCCTTTGTTGGCGACAGCGGGCGGGCCTTAATATTTCTGTATTATATTTTAAATATATATTTTTATATATATTAATTATTTTATTTAAATAATTATATTTAATTTTATTTCTATATATTTATATAATATATTAAAATAAACAAAATCAACATTATATAATAATTAGAATGTATAAAATATTTATGAGAAAATTAATTAATAATTATAAAATATAAATTAATATTTAATAAATAATAAAATAAAATTGTATTTAAATTTAATTTTTTGAATTTTTATATTAAATAAAAAAAAATTAATGTGTATATATTTAATATTAATTATTTAAAATATGAATTTATAATATATTTTATAAAA